AAAATGACATGTATTGTTATTACTACTTCACAAAAGTAGAAAGTAGGGCTTAGAGACACTGTGTTTTACTCAATGCTAAATGCTAGTACTTTTTTCAAAGTCAAGTCTCTCTGGCTCTCCATGCCTTTGTCTCTAACTACCCCTCTTCCATAAACATTCCACCCAACACAAAGGCGGCCTGTAATGGTTAGGTACTTAAATTTCAAAATTAGTCAGTCTGCGTTACAATCCCTACTCTGCTCTTTATTACCTGTAAAACTTTGGCCACATTTCTTCATCCCTCTGATGTTACTAAATCTGAAAAATGGGGTTAACAGTTCCCAGTGTGCTTGGATCGTTGGGAGTTTTATTTTTTTATTTTTATTTTTTTTAACGTTTTATTTATTTCTAGTAGAGAGAGAGAGAGAGAGTGTGAGCAGGGGAGGGTCAGAGAGAGAGGGAGTCACAGACTGAAACAGGCTCTAGGCTTTGAGCTGGCAGTCAGCACAGAGCCCGACGTGGGGCCCGAACCCACGAACTGGGAGATCATGACCTAAGCGAAAGTCGGACGCTTAACCAACTAAGCTACCCAGGTGCCAGGATTGTTGGGAGTTTTAAAGTAATCATGTAATACACACAAACATGCAGGCGCCCTCACTGTTCAGCAAGGATCTGTCTCTTCCTCATGTTTTCCAAGTCTGCTCTAGTGTACTTCAGTGTTACTCAACTCTGTAAAAACTGAAGTTTGGAAAACAGTAGTTAAGGACCTCAAAGCTCTTTAGACCATCAAATCCCAGAGGTCCTACTGAATGTCACTTCTGTAGGTAAATGAATTTACCACATGGCAAACCTTTTAAGAGAAGATGGTGATTTGAATAATCAAATGTAAGATGGGGCCCAGAGACACTGGTTCTTCAGTGAGAGACCATTTCCAACATGAGAAAGAGATGCTACTCTTCTGGCTCAGTGAGCCTGACAGAAAGAAGAAAAAGTGCATTCTAATTTTATTTCTACTTGTAGTCTTCATTTTAAAAAATATTTTCTTAGGAAACCAAGCTGTCTTTGAGAGAGGTATTAATAAGCCTGAGTATTCCAAATGATAGACACTGCACAGAATAGAACAAAGAAAGTAAACTAGATTTCTGTCCCTACATGCCTCTTCTGGGTACTTCCACCGGATGCAAGGTCTCAGGACACTGACAATGTGCAGTATCTAGTCCCATTTCCTGGAATGGCCACACACCTCCTGAACATTTTTTTTTTTTTAATCCTTGTACATTATGAATCATGGTAGGTGTGTTTATCTATTCATTTTGGCTACTAAGCAAGGGAATGGGCCTTAGCCTCTTACTGCACTAACTTTCTCTCTGCCTCAAGTCTTATCTATATTAAATACATTTTAGGGGCGCCTGGGTGGTTCAGCCAGTTAAGCATTCAACTTTGGCTCAGGTCATGATCTCACAGTCCATGGGTTGAAGCCCTGCATCAGGCTCTGTGCTAATAGCTCATAGCTTGGAACTTGCTTCGGATTCTGTGTCTCTTCTCTCTACCCCGCCCTGCTCTCAATCTGTCTCTCTCTCAAAAATAAATATTTTTAAAAAATTAAAAAAATAAATATATTTTAATCTTTTGTTCTAGGGTTCTTGGTAAAATATCCATTTATTTTTGGAAATAAGTAGACTATAAAGTAAATAAATAAACATAATGTCTTCGATGTATTGATTGATATCTAGACTCTGCCTATAACCACATTTGACTATTTCCAGAAATGCTTACATATTTAATTGAAATTCTTAATGTGCTCAGATCCTAATAATATTGTGCTTGGAGAGGCAGAAGTAAGGCTACTTACTACTTTGGAAATCATCATAAAACAGTATCTTCGTGGTTCTAGCATCAGCTTCTATCTCTTGTCCAATATACTAGATCATATTTTTTATTAAATCAATGAGACTGGTTTACTACCAAAAAGTAAACCAAGGAACCACAAAGAAAAGGCAGTAGACTATGCCTGGTCCCTACTGATTTCCTTGCCCCAAATGCAAACAAGGTATTCTAAGCTCATTTTCTCTGTAGTCTTTTCACTTGTGTAAGTGGCTCGACTCTCATGCAAGAACTGAGGCAACAGCAACCCACCAGCAGAGGCTGACTTAAACTTACCGAGCTTCGGTTTATGATACAAAGATCCAGCCTCTACATACCTAAAAATATGGAATTTTTTATTTTTTGCAAAGAAGACTCTTTGGCAAATGATGACACGGCAACTAGAGATAGAGAAAATCTTCTATTTTGTCACAGTCCTTAAAACCCTTCTTTAGGAGAGAGGCAAACCATGAGAGACTCTTGAATGCTGACAAAAACTGAGGACTGATGGATGTGGGGGGGAGGGGGGGAGGGGCATGGAGGAGGGCACTTTGGGGATGAGCACTGAGTGTTATGTAGAAACTAATTTGACAATAAACTATTTGTAAAAAAATAAAAAAAAAAGAAAGAAATAAAAAAATTTAAAAAATAAAAAAAATAAAAAAAAACCAACCCTTCTTTAGAATTGCTTTTCCTGCTTGCCCCTACTACTCGCCAGTGTTCTTGGTAATATGGTATTCTCCTTGCTTTTCCAGCTAGACTTTATCGAACTAAGGATTAATACTTGATCCAGTGGGCCAATTCCACAAGGAACTGGCTGTGGGCATTGTGGTCCATTCCTAGCAGCTGTTTGAACCAAGGGCCTACACGCTCAATGTCAGGCACATGGAGCTAGACAGCCAATGTACAGAATGCACAGAGAGCAGCTACACAGAGTGAATGAGCCTGGTGAGAGAACGACAGAGAGAAGGCAGGTTAGGAGATGAAGGGTAGGGAGGGCTGATAGTCTTCCCTGACTGATTTTTCCATTTTCTAGCTCCAATCCTACCAGAGGACTACATATATTCCTATACCTGGATACAAGCAAAGACAAAACATTAAATTATGGTAAGTATTATGAGGTTACAAATTATTGGGAATATGGACTCAATAAATTTGGCTGTTAATATACATATACACGGATATATGCACCTATTTATATAATGGAACACATGCATACAAAGAAACATATATATGGGGAATACACACTGCATAAAACTGAGACTGCTTGAAAAGTAAATACTGTTATTCGGACATTATCAGCACGTGCATAATCCATCTAAATGTGTTGGTTTAACAAATTTCTATGAACCAAGTAGGAAAATCATATTATAATTCTTAAAACAATCAGCCCTACTTCTCTTCATTCTTGTTAGGGTCATCATTTATCATATCCTCCTGAAAACCACAAAATGCTAACTGATGAATACATATAGTTAATGATTTAATAATAAATGATGGCCATGATAATTCAGGATAAGTATGCAATGAATGTAACCTATTTTCCTGTAAGGGTTCCTGTAACCTAATACAATTTTCTGTATCAAAAACTGTCTGTCTAAGAATTAACAGAAAACAAACAAAAACATAAATCTGTAATATATTTTATAATTAAATTATCATAGAAATATGCCACCATATTAAAGAAAGGAAAATTTAAAAATTTTAATGAGGAACTGCAGATAGTTTCTCTAACTTAAAACATTTGGGACAGACATTTCTCGAATTCAAGTGTTTTCTTTCTATCTTAAAGCATCCTGTAAGTAACAAAGATCCCACTGGTTTTCACATAAAAATCTATCCACCATGGTAAATATAATGTAAATGGTCCAGTATGAGGGCAATAAACATTTGGCAAAAGTTTTTAAGATGCGGAAGCTTAAGAACCAATAGGGATTGAACATACTAGTGATGGAAGAAAAATAGAGCTATTGATTGCAAATCTATCATTAGTTTACAAGTCAATACATGTTTTCCAGTTAACAGTAGTAGCCAGACAAGGTCTCCATACTTGTGGAATTATTATTTCATTGAAGGGTTTATTTTAGATCAGGCAATCAGCATTTACCATCAATATGCTTCAATTAAGCAAAACTGATAATGAAAATAGAAGCTTATAAATGGATATATTCATAGAGAAGGCACTTAGTATGGTATAAAAATGGACCCACAAAAGTAGAGATACGTTTTTGTTTCTCTTAGAGCACCTAGAGTAGTGGCTGGTACACAGTAGGTGCTGAATGCTTACACGAATGAGTTTTCTTTACAACAGTGAAGCTTTCAACACACCTTCCATCCCTAATGACATACAGAAGCACTTGAAGGCCATCTCTACTCCTGCAGTGTCCGCAGACCCAGGAAAGCTAAGTGAGTGCTGGAGATGGGTTCTCAGCCCACTCAGCCACTAATGCGTTATGAGTAAGTGATATGACCGTTCTGGCTATCAATTCTCTTGTCTATTAACTTTAGTGACCGGAATAAATGAACTATAATCCAGTTGAGAACTCTTTTTAAAAGCTAGTTTTCTAAGGCCACTTAAAATATGATTTGGTGTATATAAATTTTGTATCACTGAAACCTTCAGAAACATACATATGAGGAGAAATCAGAGATACACAGCTTTAATTCTGAATACTTTCCCTCTTGAGGACAGAGGTTTACATAATATCAGCATATAAGCAGAGGCTTTAAATATTTATAGCAAACAAATGATCTAACTTTAGAAAAAACACATTATATTCTAATTTATATAGATTATTTTAATGGTCAAATCCCTATATATGAGTTTCATTTTACTTCTATAGAAGAAATCTGTGATTACGCCCACCCCTCATCATCAAACTATTCACACTCTATGACAATCACATGCTTGCCTCTCCCCCCTTGCTGGACTATGAGCCCTATGAGAACATAATGAAGTATGGAGAGACTGGTGTCTGGAACAATGATTCTTAATCCTCCTACAGCCTGCCCAGATGCCATCTACTCATCTCTTTGACCGTAAATGTAGGTTTTCATAGCGTATGATAAAAAAAATAATGGCTCCAAAATTGTTCTTAAAGAGCGAATCGGAATTACATAATTTTAGAATTTGGAGACATAAGAGTAAGTAACCTTACCTGGGAAAGCTTACGCTTTTCTACATTTCCTCCCTTTTCATTGTGTAATGTGTAAACTGGTGTATATTGTACAGAACCAGAACAGGTTCCATAATCTTCTTCATTTTCCTACATGTGAAGAAATATTAAAGGCCTTATTTTAAATACTCCTTTTATTACTTCTGGACAAACTATCTGATATAGATGCAAATACCAAAATAACACTTCCAATATAAATTTTAAAAACTCTATTTTGGAAGAAAATGCATTTTTATATATTATGAATTAATAACTTCTAAAGTAATCTCTTTTGAATAACATGAATAAAAGCTATATTAAGATTATTTACCCTCCATCACAAAAATGGAAGTTTTAAGTAGTATTTTTTCTTCAAAGGTAGATATTCAAAACAACTGACAAAATTTGTAAAGATATAATATATAATCCAATTGAAATCACATATACATACACATAAATATTCATATACATGCAATATTCATAGATTCAAACACATATCTTCAAACACAATTTTTTGTAAATTAAGAACACGTTTCAAATTAAAGTAGCTACTGTTGGAAAGTTCCTATAAAGCCAAATGATGGCATTCCTGGATTGTCTGCACTAAAGATCACCTTTTTAAAGAAATTCTCAGCTTGAAGCAAGAATTTCAATTGTGATATCAAGGCAATCAACTTTATGAAAACATACATCCTGTTAAAGCATCTTTGAAGATCTCCGTTGTTCTGTGATAAAATATGCAAACAATAAAGAGATTATTCAGTGAATGCATACAGAATGGCAGATAGTTGCCAGAGGGCTTGTTATGAAAAATACATTCTTGAACAAAGGGCTAAGCATATTTCAAACATCATTAAAAACATAAATCTCATGTGATTTGTAAAGTCTGAGCTTCAAACTAATGCAAGAATCAAGAAGAATGAAAAGAATATGACGTACCTTATGTTTTAGCTTACTCTTGACTTCTTTTATTCCCTGCTTAGCATGATTTTTTGCCTAGAAAAAGGAAACACAAGTGTCTGGCTCAGCATGGTTCTATTACCACTTAAAGAGTTAGTAGATGAGATCACACTCCATGAAACTTGCTAACTTCATATTATTTAGAAAAAGAACAAATTATAATCTAAAACTCTTATTCTTCTGGGAAACCACATCACTTACTATTATATCCAAATTAGTGAAAACGTGATTAGTCTCTATTTGTATACTTGTACCATACAAAGGCTAACATTTAGCCTATTTTGCCTCCTAAGCTATAGAAAACACAGGAGTCAACCTGACTACTAATGCTCAGTCTTAATTTGCAATTGTGATTAACTGGTGCTGAAAAGGAGAAAGCACAACGGCAGGCTATTTGGGCAAATGTTTGGACTTTAAGACACTCGGGACAACTTTACAAAGCTTTACTGAAATGCTTTTATAGGCAGACACACGTTTTCATTAGCAGAGATATCTCAATATTATGGCTATTTCATGTACAGTTTTTCTGGCATAAATTAGAAGCCCCTTAACAAAAGATGCTATTCTCATGTTCCCTAGGGAATCTGGCTCCAGCATTTAAGCCTCTCAGGTCCTGATGTGCTTCCTGTGGGATATAATATAACTAAAGACAACTGGCCTTGGCCTTTGTTCCACTGGAAATTCCCACTCAGAGTGGCCAGAGCGGAAAAGAAAGGAAATTCACATTTATGTTGTGTTTCTTAAATATTTGACCATGTGCTGGGTACCTAGCATGGTATCAGCTCATTTAATCATGACAAACCTATGAAGTTAGGACTATTATTATGACATTTTTACAGATAAAGAAAGTGACTCAGAGGAGATCATCTGCATAGCCTACTTTCAGATCTGGGACCATTTAATTCCTGAGTCTAACTTCTCCCCATCTCAAAGGAGAAGGAAAAACTAAGGATTTTAAAATATATCTACTGAATCTAAGCATTGTGAAAGAAAAGGCATTACGAGTTTCATTCTACAGACATGGAAACTGAGGTTGTATAGGCTTAAGACTTAAATTCCAATGTTTTTGCTTCTACCAATCCATCCTGCTTCCTGAAGTACTTCTAGGAAGAGTGAACACATGCCTTCCCAAGTTCATTTAGAGGAATGCTCTCATTCCTTTCCAGATAATATCTGTAGTACCTGATACAATATTTGGCATATAGTAACTGCTCAAAAATGTCTTGAACTCAACTAAACAATCATTTCTTTATGGTAAATGAGGCAAAGTCAAAACACGTTACACACAGTTTATAAAAGATAACCTAAAAAGCCAAATAACACTAAATTATATTTCTATGGTTCCTTACAATTAATAAAGCATTTTCACATTAATTGTTTTATTAAGCCTTTGAATCTATTTAAAGGGTTGAGTATTAATCACTACATTCCTATTAGGTAAACATGAATAATTACCAAGAAATGTGCCTGTTTCCATGTTCTAGAATTTATATCCATATTTGCTCACATTTTGTCTATATTCTAATTTACCTAAATATTCTCTATTCTTTCAAAATCCACTTGATTCACACTGATCTTTTCAAATGCTCTTCAGTGTATAGAGTTGAATATAGAGTTGTCAGTCATGGTTCTGTGATTCATGTAGTGATTCCCTTAAATGCACTTGCCCTACCTCCTCTACTGACCTCTTTCAGATGATCTGGAAGATGGGGTATAGGTTCTCTCCTTTTCAATCTACCAAGTAGAAACTTACCAATAAACAAGGATTCTTTACAGAGAAGCACCCAGCAAATGGCTTTGGCTAATAATTTAAAATAGAAAGGCCTAACAAGAAAGTTGACTCAGGAAAGCTTTTAGCTAAATCAATTATGTATTCACTTTACTGTTATTTTTCAATTTCTAAGAAAGTATATGGTTTTTTTTGTTTGTTTTTAATTTCTGAGAAAGTGAGAGAGAGACAGTGTGAGCAAGGGAGGGTCAGAAAGAGAGGGAGACACAGAATCTGAAACAGGCTCCAGGCTCTGAGCTAGCTGTCAGCACAGAGCCCGACATGGGCCTCGAACCCACGAACCGTGAGATCATAACCTGAGCCAAAGTCTGACGGTTAACTGATTGAGCCACCCAGGTGCCCTGAAAGTTTATCTGTTAATTCTAGTTTGCTTTATGGCTCCTCTGAGCACAGAAAAGTATAAGTATAAAACGCATAGAAAAATATGTTTTAAACATAGAAAAACTGTTCTAAGTATAGGACAAAGTCATTATCTCCTTCAACAAATACATATTTAGTTCCTTTGTAGTAGTACATCCAAAGTATAGAACAAAGTAACAGCGACACAAACATAAAATTAGCAGGAATAGTACCTCTCTTCTCACAGTACCAACTTCTTCACAGCTCCAACTCAATTGTTGAGAGGTACTCAAACAATTTAGTGAATGAATGAAAGTTTAAAACATCGTTCCCAGTTTTAAAAAATGTACTATGAAAAATTTACTGTGAAAAACAAGTAAATAAATTCTGTTAAGCCCATACAAGAGAGATCGGGAGTTTTGTTCATAGTAAATTGTGGTCAAAGGAGGAATTTCAAGAGTTCATATTTCAGAATAAGGGGAGCCTGGAAAGCTGAGTTTTAGGTACAACTATGAAAGTCACAAATTGACTTTACTTGTCCCAAATCTCTTTGACTTCTTGATTCACATACAACATAATCACAAGATCACAAGATAAATGAGGAAAGTGATTAAGTACATTCTGAAGACCTTAAATTGCCTGACATAAATTTAGGGAATAATCTTCCAGACAGCACAATTTTTAATTTGGAAACATTTGACTGTTCTGCAGAAAAGGGTCCTCAGCAAAAAGTAAAATACTGATTAGAAAGATAGAGATATGAAAAATGAATGAAGTTTTGAATATGTTTGCTTTCTTTCTGGGTTTTTGTAGAAAATATGAGCGAAATTAAGGAGAGAAACACATACTTAGCAAAATAATACATTTTCTCTAAGCCTGAGGAAAAACCTCAAGTGTTTGCTCAAGGAATTAAATGAAGGGCACTTGACTGGGAAACCCGTTTTAGAATCTTAAATGAATGTGAAAAACAAGGCTAAACTGATGTTTCACATGGCGGCCATGTGCTACTTCATTGTAAAAAATTAAAATCTCTCCAAAACTGTATATAAATCAAACCACCAGCATTATAGTGAAATAAGGTGATACACTAAGAGAGAATTTCCAGAAAAGCCATGAAACAACTAATCCAAAATCCATCAGCAGATGCTGATCCATCAGCAGCAACTAATCTATCAGCAGATGCTGCTGGTTCCAAGGTAAAATAATGAATTCTTCCTATTTTTACTTTATGATAAAGCTTCAAACAGTTCAGAATTTCATCACATTTTTGAACCCACTCTGTAGAGTAGCTGTGCTACTATAAAATGTAATCTTTGAAATGGATTTTTTTAAACAATAATGGTGGCTACATATTTGTCATAATTGTACGTCAAAACAAGAATATAAGTTCTACGCTTATTAAAATATATTATTCTATTTTTAATTCAATCACATAATTTCCTTTACTGAGAAAGCATTTGAAGAGAAATTCTTATAAAATCAAAACTACTACCCTGAATCTTTTTTTAGAAATATGAAATATACATGACCTGTGGCACTTAAAAAATTACTTCATCACATACCAGTATACTAGCTCCTACCTCAAGCTCTAGTCTAAAATTAGGGATAAAGATGCCCACAGGTCAAACAAGTGCTGAAACAGAGGTATGTCTACAGGTCCTATGAAGACCTGGGAGGTGTATAAACCCTGTGAATGTGGGATTGGAAAATGTTTTTTCAGGCAAACAACTAATGCCTAAACTAAGTCTTACAGGATGAATTAGTGTTCACTCCATGGACAAAACCCAGAAATAAATGCCCCAAGTAGTGGAAATGGATTGTTGAAGAACAGAGGTAGAAGAGAAAACCTTGCATTCAGGAAATGAGGAGCACTCAGGATCTATAGAGAGAGGGCAGGCTTGGGTGTTGGGGTGAACTGAAACAGGACATAAGAGGGGTCAGGTCTTGAGGGTCTTAGTTAACATATTAAAGAGATTTTCATTTTATTATTTGTTATTGTTATTGATACAGCTATTTTTATTTTATTATAAGTCATGGAGAATTACTGAAGAATTTTAATTATGGAGTGTCAAGCATCTTTGAGGTAAGAGAACTTGCCATATTTTTCTATTTTTTTTCCTACTTGAGCCTCAGTATACAATAGGAATTAAATGAAAGAGTCAAATCTCTAAGAATGGCACTTCATTAGGGACTGTTGTAATCTGAGTGCACAATTTTACTTATAGCTTTGAAATAAAATGAACTGTTTTCCTTAATTATATGAAGGCAATATCCTTCCTAGACAATAGTTTCAATAACCAAATTCACTTTGATCAATCTTAACTCCAAGTTTTTTTTTTTAAAAGCTTTTTTAAAAGGAAAAATGGGGAGGGGGCACGCCTTGGTGGCTCAGTGGGTTAAGTTTCCGACTTCCGTTCAGGTCGTGATCTCATGGTTCATAAGTTTGAGCCCCGCATCAGGCTCTGTGCTGACAGCTCAGAGCCTGGAGCCTGCTTTGGATTCTGTGTCTCCCTCTCTCTCTGCACCTCCCCCACTCTCACTCTGTCTCTCTCTCAAAATTAAACATTAAAATTTTTTTAAATAAATAAAAAAATTGGAACTAGTCTAGATTTACATGCCTGTCAGCTAAGAAAATGTAAAATTTTATCAACAAAATTTGTAAATGCCAAGACTTACAAATTTATATGCCGTCCGTACAGCTGGAGTCGCTTTGGTCATTGCTGTATTAAACAATGCACCTCCTTTCTGCAAACAAAAAAAGACATATTTCTAAAAATTTTAAAAACATATCGCCTGAGTACAAAGCATTATTAATAGCACAGAAAATAGCTTTACTCGCAAGTTACACAAAGACCTATAGAAGTTTCTTCAGATTTAGTGTTTTCAAGCTTTCACATACCATAGTCATTTCAGACAAAATATAAACCGTCTACTCCATTCCTTTAGTTGGTGTAATACATGATTTAAAAATCATTTCATCTTTGCAGTTTAGGCAGACTGGTGCAATAGGACCCATCATAGGTATGTACTTAAAATTTAATAAGAAAGAAATACAATCGAGGCACCTGGGGGGTTCAGTTGGTTAAGCATCTGACTTTGGCTCAAGTCATGGTCTCACGGTTCACGAGTTCAAGCACGTGAGCTTTGTGCTGACATCTCAGAGCTTGGAGCCTGCTTCAGATTCTGTCTCCCTCTCTCTCTCTTTCTCTCTTTCACTCTCACCCTCATTCTCTCTCTCTCTCTCTCTCTCTGCCCTTCCCCTGCCCACATTCTTGCTCTCTCTCTCAAGAATAAATAAACATTAAAAAAAGAAAGGAAGTCAACTATTCATCAGTTGTTTTAATGTTGGGCAATAAAATCTAAATCTGTGGAGCTGAGTTTTACATTTAATAAAATCATATTAACAAAACACATTACCAGAAATGATAAAACTCCCCTCAAATCCTATTTCTCCTCCTAATTCCGTTGTTCTAGGATATAAGGTGACAAAAACATCTTGCTTTTCAAAACAAGCCATTTATTTCTGACAAAAGCTTTCCATTTTAAAATTATACTTATGAATATCAAACTATAAATAGCATAAAATAAAAATATTTAAAATGTGACAATATACAAACATCTTAAATATCGCCAATAAATAGCATAAACAGCATCCTTTTACTGAACATTTCTCTGTATATTTTGAGTGAAGTAAGAAGAAATGGTGAAAGATTAGTATTACCTTGACTGTATGCACCCATTGTTGATATGACCTCGGGTTCCCTGGAATATATAAAAATAAGATGTCAGGAATATTTGATCTAAAACTAAAATTCATCAAGAACTAATACTTCCAAGATTTTAACAAATGCTATATATCTGCAATGTTGTGAAAAAAGCAGTAGTATCGTAAGAACCAATAAATTGCTCTGATTCTTCGGAACACAGTAATTCGCATTTTTAAGAATAGACACTCTTCTTTACTCACATATGAAGGTAATATGTTATGGCATTTTATATTCTTTCATTTTAATATTATGTTCAGAGAAGAAAAATATACGTTCTCCTTTGAAATCCAAGATTCCTATGTCTTTTATACTATATTTTCAGTGTTTTATGTCTAGGTTGTCTTTAAAATGTTTGCCTCTTTTACGCAATTAAAAGTGCATTGAGAAAGAAAAAACTAAAAAGGAATTTAAAAATGCAAAAACCCAGGGGCACCTGGGTGGCTCTGTTGGTTAAGCATCTTAGTTTCGGATGCAGTTAAGACTCTTAGTTTCAGCTCAGGTCATGATCTCACGGTTTGGGAATTCAAGCCCCACGTGGAGCTCTGTGCGGACAGCACACAGCCTGTGTGGGATTCTTTATAACTCTCCCTCTTTTTCTCTCTCAAAATAAATGAGCACTTTTTTAAAAATGCAAAGGACCTTGAAGACAAAAAATTCTATAGTTTTTAAATATGAACACTGATAGCAAATTCTACTGTAATGCAATTAAACTGCAGTCATAGTTCTATAGATATTCTCTAGCCATAAACCCAAGTTTGAAATACATTACCCAAGGAAATATGAAGCAAATCAAGGTTTTAGTCTACAGAGCATCACGGTTATTAGAAAGTTCAAATGCTGACAAAACGAGTTCTTTTTTTTTTTTTTAATTTTTATTCAAATTCCAGTTAGTTAACATACAGGTATAATAGTAGTTTCAGGCATACAATATAGTGATTCAACACTTCCGTACAACACTTGCTGCTCATTACAAGTGGACTCCTTAAACCCAGTTCTAAAAAACTAATAATCATATATCTGGTTTGAAATATGGTAATTTAATCAATACAATGATATCAGAAGGCAAAAAAGAATACAATCTCAGGTAATGTTTTATATCAACTGACTCAGATTTCATGTACCTTCTTCATTTAAATGCTTAAAAAACAAAGTCCCAATGGCTATTCAAAGACTATCTGGTACAAAGAATCCCTCAAATAGATTATGGTCTCTTCTTTTTTTAATGAAGGTATAATTGAGACATAACATTATATCAGTTTCAGATACAGAGACAGAGCATAATGATTCCATATATTGTGAAATGATCACCACAATAAATCTAGTTAAATATGTCACCATACATGTTCTCTACTCGGGTGTAGTTGTATCCTTTTAAAAAATGCATTATCTTGCTGTTATAAAACAGAGGCAGAATGATTCCAGCCCATGAATTTATTTCCAGCTTTTCTCTTTGCATTCCTAACCAACATCAGGCAAAATGTGTTCAGATCTAAAATTATGCCTGTAATTAAAATCTTTGTCTACTTTTAAAAAAATCAAGAAACAACCCCCATTGTAAAAACATCGCTTACTCCTCAGCACTGCACTTCACTAAACTAGAAGAAAATATATAGGCAAAATAAAATTTTTTTCTAATTTTGTGTAATGATTATAGCAAAATGTGTCTACTTAACATAGCCTATAGAAATGAAATGTGCACTGTTTAAAACCTATGAGTTTCAGATGGTATTTGACCTGAACAATTTTTTAAAATATATTTCACTTGTAAAATGACAAAAAATTATGTTATTCTATCAATTTATTTCTAAAGAGATTTTATTAACAAAAAAGTAAACAGTATAACTATACCCAGATTGTTTATACACTTTTACTTACTAAAAGTTCTCATCAGATCATATATTTTTAACTTCTCTATTACAAATGGTTGGGTAGAAATCACACATTTAAGACCTGCTTATCACTTACAGTATTCTGGAAAGTGTTTTGTTTTCATTCTCTTCCCAAAATGAATTTAAGAAAATGGAAAGAGAAACATCAACTTCTACGTGATTACTATTTTAGCATTTTGGAATAGTTGTCATCCAGAAAACAATTTTTTAAGCCTCCAAACTACAAAGAAAATAGCTATCATAAAACTTCAGAGTAGTTAGAGAAAAATGAGTTGTGAGGAATAAAAATAGCTCATATTCAGCTCTTCACAGGTCACAAAATGTTTTTATGTACATCATCTTATTTGAGCTGTGTTTTTGTGCTCTAAAATAGAAGCAGCACATTTCAAGCACAGTTCAATGAGGAGTCCAATAGATCAGAGGGTGCAAGTCCACTGTACCCTTGTAAACTCTGCTATTTGGGACAAGTCCTTAACCTGGTTGCTACAATGTTACCTAAGTAACATATAGTACCTAGCACATCATAGACACACCATAAATATAAATTATTATTGTCAATAACTTGCCAAATGAGGAAACTGAAGGTTCTGAGGTGGCGCATTATTTGCTCTAGGTCACAAAGAGCAACTGAGGAAGAATGAGAATCCAGGTATTTGAATGCTTGGTTCATTGGTCCTTCAACCCAGAAATTCTACCTCTTAGACTGCTAAATAAAATATGATAAAACTTAAGTTATATAGAGATTTTTTTCTGTATCACTTCAAAGTAATTATACTACAAAGGAAAAGGGGCTGCTCAAAGCTGATACTTTGAGAAGAAACAGTTGACAGAATCACCAATAATAATCCAAAATTATATGCACAGGGAAAACAGAAAGTCCCCAAATAAACTACTTAAAATGGTAGGGAAACATCTGGCACAATTTAGGTAGATTCCTATTTAAAATTTTTAAAAAGACGGGTGTCTGGGTAGCTCAGTCAGTTAAGTGTCCGACTTTGGTTCAGGTCATGATCTCACCACAGTTTGTGAGTTTGAGCCCTGTTTTGGGCTCTGCTCAGAACCTGAAGTCTGCTTCGGATTCTCTCTCTACCCCTCCCCTTCTTGTGTGCACTCTCTCCTCCTTCTCTCTCAAAAATAAATAAAACATTAAAAAAATTATGATATTTGTTTCTTTAAATTTAGTGCTTTTCAGATTGAAAGCGTCTATTTCTACAAAATTAATGAGACAGGCACATTATTCTTTAAAACTGTTTTTAAGGCTGTTTTTCTTCTTAAAAAATTAATCTGAATGCCAAAAAAATCTCTGAGGTTTTCCAAAAGTAGATAGATTGTGGAAATAATAAGTGTTATTGAGAAAATTCTTAACATTGTTCTCATTAATCACACAAGTGATTTTCTCACACTCAAGGACAAAATATCTTTGTTTCCCCCTGTGCAAAGACTTCTTCTTCAAATGTATTTATTTGAACTCCAGTAATTTGTAGTTACTTTTCAAAAAATATATAAATTGACCTACACTTTTCAGTGAAGCCTGGAAAATGTCACTGATATTGAGGATCACCTACCACCTCTTCAAAGTCCTTTGGTGCCTTAGTCAGTAAAAAAAAGAAAAAAGAAAAAAAAAAAAAAGAAACAGTATTACCTAAATAAAAGACTGATCAGATTATATCAGGAAAGTAATTAAGAGACAAATGCTACTAATAAATAACAACTACATGCTTCTATATAAAATCAATCTGAAAATGTTTCTCCTTTGTAAGTTTGAATAATTGGAAGGAGATTTAACTAGTCTTATTTAAATGAGAAAAACGTGTAAAAACCACTCCCATGGTTCTTAACTACTCAGTATTCCTTAGCTGCTTTCTCACAGGCCAATATTTGTTTATTGCAACCTCTGTTCTACTTATGTCCACTTTTATTACCTTTTAGCCTCCATGGATAGTCTTCCCTTCACACACTTCCTGAAATTTACATTACTTTCCTCTTAAGGTTGAATATGCTACAAAGGTCTCATGAAAAACAATCTGGAGTAACAGGGATTTCTTCACAGTCCTGACCGCAGAGACTCACAAGACAGAAAACAGATTTTGCAAATCTGTATACATTCAGTCTTTAACCATAGTTCTAGATTCAATGTGAATCTAGACGTCCTATGTATGACTGCCTTGCATTGTATATTTTTAATCAGACCCATGATAATTATGAAGTTCCACCATGCTCATATTCATTTTATCACAACCACGTACGCTAGCAACAAAGAGAGTATACAAACTGCCGCTGCAATGACACAGAAAGGGGGGGAAATTTGATGCTTCTCTGAAACTCCCTATTTTGGCTTAAAGGAACATAATTTTTCCTCAGCTTTAATGAATGTTGATTTCTCTTACGGTGATCTTTCTTAGGGCTTTATGTCTCAAAAATCTTCACTAGATAATCAAGGGACAGGAATTTTACTTTTATCCAATCACAGGAGAGAAGGCTTGAGTACTGCTCTTGTTTACTGAATGTCTCCTAATTAAGAAGATCTCTTATCATAAGAAAGCAATATATTATAGTTATTAAAGCAAGAGCTTTGAAGCCAGACAGATATATGTTGAGTTCAGACACTAGCACTACTAGCTGTGTGACCTTGAGCAAATTACTGAGATAAGTGCCCTCATAAAAATGGGGATGGGTAACCAAACTACTTCAAACTACCAAACTACTGTGAGGATTAAATGAGGTCAAATTTGTAGAGCTCATGAAGCTCTTGTAAGAGATTCTGTCGCATATTTAATATTCAATAAGTAGGAACAATTATTATAATTATTACTGTGAGAGAAATGACAAAGTTATAGCTATTTACCTCTTTGAATAATAGTTCAATATCATGATATAGACATCTTTCTTACAAATGTAGTCTACATGACAAATGTATAATGTTCTTTCATATATATCTTCATTTATAAGAACACTACTAATTTTTATTAGATTATTCATATTTTTATTTCAAATCCTAATAAATTATGCTCTGTTTTCTTCTAAGTAAGCTCTCTGTATCTCTAATAACCTAAAATATAATAATTAAAAACAATACTTAATAGCTAGGCATAATTTTTAATATACTTTCTTGCTATACACACTGAAATTAATATCTGTTGAACTACACTTTCCTTTTGAATCAATACTGCCCTCCCCTATCAAATTAAAGTAAGTGTTCAAAACCTTTTTCATTTTAAGAAAGGACAACAAAGTGGTTGGCATGAAGTTGTACAGAAAACGTAGCAGTCTCTAAGTCAGATGCCAGCTGGTGATCAATATTCCATTCTTTTTAAATCATAAGACCTTTAACGAACAATGTTAGTAACCCTTTTCCCATCAGAAAAGCCACCTACCCTCTATTCTGTTCTATTCTATTACAGAGGTATCTGGACCACTGGTTAAGACTACAGAATTTAACTATATAAAACGATCATAGTTCTACCCCATTACTGTCACAAGATGTCATCTTCAATTCCATAGAAGATACTAGCCCCATGGGTCATAAAAATAATGAGACAGCAGTTATATAAATACTGAATAAATGCCTCAAGCAATTTGTCCATGAGCTGACAATATTTTGCTTGTCTGAGTTGAAAAGTAAAAAAGCCTTATTTTAACACAAAAGTTCCATTGAAGCTAAATTTTTACTCATGAGCTGAGGAAAGCAAGGAGCTGAATGATTCCACACTTGGCATACTTGCTGAGTCAAGTAAACTAAATTTTTCACAAAGCTGAATGCTTTCAATGAGATGCTATACTTATACGAGATCATCATGCATATGCTCAGTTCATCCGGACCTCTCTTAACGAACAAGTTATCTCAATGCTTTGTGTATTTTTATGGAGCAAAAAATAAATCTTACTTAGGAATAAAATTACATTTTGGAAAAATTGTAGATGAGTACTTATTACTATGCCTTTTCATGTTTCATTTCTCAATTCTAGCAGCTCTTAACAGCACACATACACTAAAGACATCTTTTCCCCAAATGAAACCTCCAGATAAGTAGAAAAAAGTCACTATAATACCAGCTGAAAATGAATACACTAAAGAGTTTTGTTTGTTTGGCTCACCCTGTATCTAGACCAGTGCCTAGCATGTACTAAACACTTAGCACAAATACTGGCCGAAAGAATGAATATGACATTTCAAGGACTCCAGCAAAATTCTCTGCCAGAGTCCGGACTATATACTGGAGCAGTCATGTACAAAGTACCAGTTCGTAAGTCATTAACTGCCGAGATAATTACAACGTTGTTTGAATACTTACAAATCAAACAATGTAACTGTTTAATTATATTAAGGTTCATTATATTAAATAAAAATGAGATATCACCTAACTTATGTTTCACACATACAAAATAATACGATGCCTTCCATTTGTTAGTGAGCACTTTTTACAGTGACAAGTGTAAGCACATGGGATGGTAAACTGAAAAGTCTTTTCCTCATGCTGCAGTGTTCTGCAAAGCAAAAAAAAGGTAAAGGCTTCTATAACAACACACTTACTTAAAATGTAAAAGCAGCTGCGGTATTAAAATCTTTTGTTTTAGATTATATTACAATCGAATATTTCAACTATAATCTCAGTTCTTTAATTATTATTTAGTAGTAGCCATCACTGTGGGATTTTTAGCAGAGAATACTAAAGGAAGATATAAGCTAACTGCATTTCTGTGACATTTATTTCCACTACTATTAAGACTATTCAAGCAAACAACTACCAATTCATGAGACCATCTTAACACCTTGAATAATAAAATAAGTTAATACCACAGCTCTTATAGGACGAAAAAATGCATCTATGACAGTATACATTTAAGAGAAAACAGTTGTTTATGAAGTGGGTTATATTAGGTATAAGTTCAAAAATCAAGGCAATTGCAACTCAGAAAATGGATAATCATATTGGAACTAGTCTTTACCTCCACAAAAGCCACCTGAAGTGATTTCCTCTTCAAATACATCAGAGAAACCCCTTCCTGCATTTAATTTTGCCAGTCGACCATCAATAAACTGAAATTAAAAAGTGTCAAAACATTAATTTTCATTTTGTTCATAGGATTAAATTTTACTTTTATCAAAATACTCATATCAGTCATAAATATAAACTACACACATTTCTGTACATGTATACACACATATACATGACAAGCAAACTCTCAAATAGTTGAAATAGCAGGTGCTCAATAAATAACAGCTAATTAGTTAAATAAGAAATGTACAGCACAGACTCTAACTTCATTAACAAGGAAAACAATGTACTATTTATTAGCATTTGGTTATTTTCTATTTTGTTGATCTATAGCATCTGAAATTTGTCTTTTTTGGATTATAAATAAATATTACAAATGTTTTAAGGTTTCTCCATTCATAATGAAGGTAAAGTATCTGTAAGGCTCCCTTGCATAAGAGACAAAGGGTAATGTAAGAAAGATTTAACTGATGTCTGAAGGGTAGACTTGAAAATTTGGAGACTAATACAAAATGTTCATTTTCATGCTGGACTTAATCCTGGCTATAATTTTTTTTTATCCTGGAAATTTTAAATTTAGTCAGTTTAAAATAAAGTATCTTGACTTTTAAAAAATTCTCACCTTCTATTCTAATTTAAAAACATAGTTTTCTATTTAAATGAACAAAACTAATTGAGTTCTATAGGGCAATATAGTTTTCCTCAGGCAGCATTTTAACATTTAATGGTTTAACTATTTAATAGCAGTAAGCCACACCAGTTATAAGACTTTGGGACAGAAATCTCTTACAGACTAAAATTAAGACACAAATGAATCAACAGAATCCACTTCAAAATGTGGTTTAACTACTTTTATATTATTACAGAATAATTTTGACCCAAAAGGTGGTAAGAGAGGTCTAAAATAGAATAGCCTAAAAGGATATATTGTTATAGCTTTTTTTCTTTTAGAGTATAAATTGCTTTCATAAAAATTAGAAATTTTTGAGGGCTAGGTACCACAGATTACCCATTTTTATCCTCATTACGTTTGGCATTCAAAAAGTTTCCAGTATTATTCATAAATATAAACATGGAGTTTAGAGAATGAAAGGCTTATATCACATCTCTGACACTTATGGCTTTATGACTTGGGAAACCTACTATCTTTGAGTCCCTGTTTCCCTTCTATAAAATGGGAATAATAATATATATCTTATGGTTTTTTGTGAGAGTTAAATGAAACAATGTGAAGTACCCAGATTGCAGTCACAGAATAAATGTTAAATATTAAAATCCACTTTTCCTACCACAACCACCTTTTAATCACTATCAATTTCTAAGTTTCCTGAGTACAAGATCACTGTCTTTCTCATGTGTATATCTTTAATATCTGGCAAAATGTTTAACGTATAGTTTGAAATGAATGTCTGCTGAAAGACTGAAGTATACTGAAACAATGCGAAAGGTCCTATACTTTACATGATTTTAAAGTTAACTAATTAAAAAACATAGAATTATGCATTCCATTCTATCTTGAGATAAAAGATGGTAACAATCTATGCATCTTTGCTACATATAATAAATGGTTAATTTGAAAATAAAGTGGTTTAAAATGCTTGCAAAATGTGACTTTCACAGATTTTCAACATAGCATTATAAATCAAACTACAGTAATCTAATTTGATGGACCAAGTATCATTGTGAAAAAAATAAGGTGAAGCAGAATGATAAATTTAAAGTAATACCTTACTGATGAATGACACAAAGTAAGACATCCTTTTAAAGGACTTAGTTTGCTTTAATAGATTAAGACTACAAGACTTTTTAAAAGGTTTTCATTTTTATGTTTACTAGAAATAATCCATCCGTTTTAGTTTGAGTGGAACAGTTCAACGTCTGAAAAGAGATAAATCCCCAAACTATTTACTGATTATGCGTTTTTGAGCATGAGTAACTACTTTGTGTTACTGAGCTAGTGAATCGAGCCAATAAAAATTAATCACTTGGTAAAATGCCACGTGTTATCACGCACTTTGCAAACAATCCTGTCAATGACAATCAGACACTTATCTACACAGATACTTCATGAAAATGTTTGTTTTTAGAATAAAAGACAGATTTTGTGCACACACACACATTCTATATATGTACACACAAATATAGACACCAAAGAATAAGCTGAGAAGTGGTATTAATATGGAGAAAAATGCTGAAGGCAACAGTTCTCTAAATTCTTTTCATTATTTTTGATTCAATAACCAATGACACCTTTTTTCTTTTTTTCCCAGGTGGAGTTGGTTCATGGTCACTCCATTCTAGTAACTTTGGAGGATTTCACATAATTAAAAAAGATAACATTTTTAGCTACTTTTGCAGAGAAATAATTATGAACCAAAAATTATTATAGACTGGAAAAGCTATGACTTTATAATGTGCTGTAGACCTGCTTGGTACATAGTTACCACATAATTTAGTAAACCCCACATACTTTTGTAATTGTTAGTTTTGGAAGAATTGGTTTGAAATTGCAAGTAATGACAAGTAACGCTGTTAATAACAAAGTGCTACAGATAAAACATAACATTAGGTTGCAAGTAGATTTTTAAAGGATTTTAAGAGTTTGCATTAAGATGATGCTTTTTACATAAATCTTAATATTTTGCTTTTCATTCCAAAAGTGAAAATTAAAACCTGGAACTAAACATGCTAAATAATCACACCAAATCATAAATAACATAATTGGAAATCTCAAAAAAATCAGAGACAATTCCATAGCATGGATTCCACAATTTTATTAATAATTATAAATAGGTAAAATGTATTAAAATAAGAATATATATAATTATCAAGATCAGTAATACTATTCCCTCAAAATCAATAATTTCAATAATTTTATTAATCCTTACGACACAATCTTTTTTTAATGTTTATTTTTTTGAGAGAGAGAAAGAGAGAGAGAGAGAGAGAGAGAGAGGATCCAAAGCAGACTCCATGCTGACAGCAGAGAGCCCCATGTGGGGCTCAAACTCAGATCATGACCTGAGCCTAAATCAAGAGTCTGACCCTTAACCGACTGAATCACCCAGCTGCCGCCTCATGACACAATCTTAAAGTAGCATGACAGGTTATAAGATAAATATTTTAAGCAGCAAAACTACTTTCTGCTACTCTTTTTGATACTGTAGTTGCTAAGGTTTTTCAAAGTGCTTTGACCTTCAAATAATCATCTTAATATGAAATCAAGTCCATTTAAAGAAATTATCTATTGTTTTAAATGGACTTCAGTGAATAATATTGTTAAATGAAAATGGACATTGACCACACCGATTTTTAAAATACAATTCAATACAAAATAAATGTTTTAAAAATGCAAAAAAAATAGGGGCACCTGCGTGGGTTAGTCATTTGAGCATTTGACTTCAGCTCAAGTCATGATCTCATGGTTTGTGAGTTCGAGCCCCACCTCAGGCTCTGTGCTGACAGCTCAGAGCCTGGACCCTGCTTCAGATTCTGTGTCTCCCTCCCTCCCTGCCCCCGCCCTCTAAAAAATAAACATTAAAAAACTTTTAAGAAACCTCACACACACAAAAAAAATGCAACAAAATAGAAAGAGTAGATTTAGTGGTAAGCTTCTTTTGAAAAAAGAAAAAAATATATATGTATAAAGAATATGTTCTGATCAGATTCACAGACTAAAATGAAATATATGGCCAGTAAAGAATGTATCTTTCCTCTATGAGGCAAATTGTATGCTTTTCACAGGTCTTTAAGTCTTCACCAGTCACTGTATTTCTGGCATTTAATCTAAAAATCCAAAACAAGTTATGCAATTAATTGGTCAGTGTTCTCAATGCCTTTAGCGGTCTAGACATATGTTATATAAATATTTAATTGCAATCAATCCATCAACCCTCTGAGGATGACAATAATTAAATTTAAGATTCCTATATGACTTTTAAAGATTTTGACTTTTTAAAAGAGCTCATCAAAAACATTGTTCCGGGGAGAGAGGGTCAGTGGTGCAATTCTTTACCAAGCTGTGGAAGTGGGAATGGGGTGCTGTTTTTTGTGCTAACATGACAGTCTTGTTACTGAAGCAAAGCAGTGGAGATGCTGGAGCCGCCCAGTAAACACATCTATACTCCCCAATTCCTTTCTCAGAGTGGAGGAAAAATTACCATATTTCAAAATTTATCTCATCTTAGAAACTCTTCTTGGGCACAAATATAAGATAACCAGTATAATAAAGGATTGAGAGCTAGAGAAAAATACATTTTTAATGAGTCAGAAATCTTTAGCAATTTCAAGAAAACATTTATATACAGTAAAAAAATATGCTTCAAATATATTAATTTCTAGCAGATCTTTAAGATCTCTTTTCTGTATAATGCTTTGGGCTAAAAAAGAATAAGTAGTCTAATTTAAATATTTCTTCTTATAAATGCTCAGTAAACATTGACAGGTTAGTGAAAACTACACTAAAGTGTTACATTAAATTAAGTCAACAGATATTTATAGACTTGCTAGATGTAAGGCATTCAGTTGGTAGCTATATATAAATACAAACTGCACAACAAATGGGAATAAGGTAGGTCAGTTTAGAGCTAAACCAAGAGAATTAAGTACATGAAGGAACAGAAATAAACTGTTATTTTTATTCCATTTCAAATATTAGGTAAATAAAATTGTAAAAATACTAAATTACACTACCATGGTATAATGAACAGAAAAACACTTTGAAGAGTATAAAAAGCCCATTCAGTGCAATTTATTATTAGAACTGATAATTTTAAACAACATTAATGGAACAACGGTATCCTCCAGGATATATCAACAGATAGCCATTAAATCATATGCCATGAAATTAAGTCTGTTAAACTTCATGACCACCAGATCAAAGAATTAATTAATTCCATCATTCTATTATATTTATTGAATTATATGGGCCAGGTAATTTTCTAGGTGCCTGAAATACAGAAATGAAAAAACAGACAAAAATTCAAGCCCTCATGAGTTCTCTTTTTTTCTGGATGAGCCTACTAAAAGGTTTGTATTTTCA